TTTAGTTTACTATTTTATTTACTATAAATATTTAATTTTGCACAGTGAAGAGATTGGGAAATTTGAAAGTCTTCTCATGATAACAAGAGATGACACAACATCCCTAGCCCCAGCAGCCCCTACTAAAATGATAAAATCTAATATAGTTCAATGTTGGTCATTTTTAATGAATGATTCTCGATTGAAAGAAGATCCTTCATGATTTATCTTTAGCATTGATCACAATGTAAGGGTTAAAAAAACTGTTAAGATCAATCATAATTAAATATGTATGATCTCTTAAAGTAATATGTTGTATGTTCTCATTAATACACAAAGACCTCTAGAGCTGTCTCTCAGGTCACAAGATGTTTCCCTGCCAACAGATAAAAACACAGAGGTGAAGTTTCCTTCAGTTCACTCACAAGAATTGAACTAGGCATGGTACGATTGGATGTGCCTATGTGATGCAAAGGAGAAAATTAAGACAACTCAATTGGTATGTCTTATTATTCATGTTTATTAAACTACATTGTATGGAATTATGATTTTGAATTTGTAAACTAATAACTGTAATTTTAATGACAGATTTTTGTTCCAATCTGTATGAGTAACCACTATAGTTTGATCGTATGATGACATGCACAAGCCTTTCTACAGAATTCTTGGATCTATTGTGGTAAGATTTTTTTTGGTTTATAAAAAGTAAATTATTAAAGTAAATAAAAGTAATATTAAAGTAAATGAAAATGTATTAAAAGTATAGATGATAATGACAGTTAAAAAATAAGATAAAATATAAAGTAAAAGATGATCTGGTTAAAGTAAATAATATATTTATTAAAGTAAAAGAATATCTATTAAAAGTACACATTTAATTACCTATAAAAATAAAATATAAAATATAAAGTAAAAGATGTTCTAATTAACGTAAATCATATGTTTATTAAAGTAATTTATACTATAAATTTGTTTTACTTATATATTGCTTTACAAATGTTAAAGGTGGAGGAAATGTCAAACTTTCTGAAGAGAATTAATCATGAAAAAGCTGATGAAATTCTTGAATATGAGTTTGATGAAGTTAAATTCAAGTGGAAGACACCAAGATATACTCTTGATTGTGGTGTTTTTGCAATGATCCATATGCTTTGTTTTTCTGGAGAAACTTTTGATTCTTACCTTGATTTAGCAAATAGGAGAAACGTGTATCGTGCAGAAATATGTGCTACTCTTGCTTTGGCCGATATAAACACCAAAAGAAAACAACTTCAAAGAAAAATTTCAAGGTTCAGGGTAGTTAGAAAACTAGAGAAGGAGAAAGGGGTATAAGATATGATTTGTGTTTCTAATTTCTTGAAGAAACACAAGGAAGTAATGGATAACATGAGTTTGCAATGTTACCAAGTGGTTGACTACTTAGCAATCAATGATGGTGAAAACTTTCCAAACAAGAGGTATGTTTTATACTTCCTAAAAAACAAATAATCATGTTGCATTATATATAATATTGTTTGACATAAGTTTAACTTTAACTTTAACTCTACATTACAGCAAAGTAGTTGGCTGGTTTATAGATTCAATTGAAATAGTAAGGCAAGATTGTAACGCTTTGCTCAATGAATGGAAAGTTTCAAGTAATGTGATCACTGCTTGGTCAAACCACCTGAATAACATTGAAATGGAAAAAGATAGGTCTGAAAATGACTTGGTCAGATACTTTTTTGGATTTGACTTCATGGTAAGTTTTTCAAATTAACTTTTATAGTTTAGAATTCTGCATTAAATAAATATTAGAAATAATAATTGGATTTTTTCTTTGGAAGGATGCTTTAACAATGTGTTTGATAGATCATGGAAAAAAGGGAGTAACAAGTCTACAAAAACTATGGATTGATTGGAACACTTCACAATCATTAGACTTGGATGCAGCTCAATGTGTAAGACAGAATTAATATTAAAATAGAACAATATATGTTTAAAGTACTTAAAAACAGGTTTAAAGTAAATATGTTTAAAACAAATCTATATGCAGGTATATATACCTCTGATGTTAGAAGATCATTATTTTCTTGTTGTGATAAACTTCAAAGATGAAACAATTGATCATCCGGACATCACTTTGTACGAGACAAATGAAGAATATGAGCCTGTACAGAGTTTTATCTTAGAAATGGTAAAGAATCAATAGATTAAAAAATTATCTTTAAATTCATTTTTCAATATCTTTTATTATACTAATATTCATTGCATTCAGATGATACAAGTACAGAAGTTGTTTAAAAAATGGAAACATCGACAGGAAAATGATATGCTGACCTACAAGATGAGAATAATTGAACTTCCATTCCAAAAAGAAAGAGAAGATAATTTCTCAGCAAGCTATCTACTGTTGCATATGAAGGTTTATGATGGTGCAAATGGCATAGGATTAGGAACAATAAAAGAGGTAAGTTACCATACTTATTTTTGAAGTCGTTACACTCTAGAACTAATCTATAATTAGAGAATAATTTATTTATAATTTATTTTTTTTACAGGAATTTGCAAGACTGAATCACCATCATATAAGATTAGTGCTTGACCTACTTCTCAATGAAAGAAATAAAATGAAACAGAAACTGCTAACAAATGTTGAGGATTGGGAAGAAAAGAAAGAATCAGAACAATTGTAAATGATATCAGTAGACTTGAATATATCATAGATATTTAGAGTACTTGAACTTGTATAGTATTAATGCAAATCTTTTGTTAAGTAGTGGTTGAATATAAGTTACTGGTGCAGCTTCAAGTTCTGCAACTTGTAGTTCTGCTGCTGTAGCTTCTACTTTTGCGGCTGCAGCTTCAAATAGCGCTACTAATGCTACAGTAGCTAATGCTATGTCTCTGTAGTTATATGTGTTTTTTTGTGATGGATGAAAAGAGCTTTTGGGTTAGTGCAGGTTTAGGGAAATGAATTTCAGAGACTGTTGTATAGCAATTTGGTAGTTCTAGTATAATATTAGGCCTTATTTTGGTTAGCATCAATTATAAAATTATGTGATGCTATTTGTAATTAAAACTAGGGCTTTAGCCACTTAATATAATATTTCCAGTTTGTGTTAAAAAAAGAATACATATTATATATCTAAGTTAAATTACTAGGATTGTTCTTTCTCAAAAATGATGGTAGATATAAAAGTAAATGTAAATAGTGTTAAAGTAAATAATAATGTGTTTAAAGTAAATGAAAAAAGTTTTTTTTAAAAATCTTTCTGAAATGTGGTGTTCGATTTTAAAGTAGAGAAAAATACTTTTAAAGTAATAAAAAATGAATCAAAAGTAGAGGTGGAGATGGGAAAAAGTATTAAAGTCAAAAAAATGTTATTCGATTATAAGTAAATGAAAATAATGTTAAAGTAAATAATACTATATTTAAAGTAAAAGGAAAAAAGTTTTTGAAAAAACTTTATGAAATAAGGTGTTCAATTTTAAAGTACAAAAAAAAATACTGTTAAATTAATAGAAAATAGATATAAAGTAAAGGGAGAAATGGGAAAAAGTATTCAAGTCAAAATCGTTGACCCAACCCGAATGACCCGACGACGCATGACCCAAAATTGACCCAAAATCATTAACACAAAAAATGACCCAAAACTCGAAATTAACTTAACCCAACCCATACCTAACTCGAAAATGGAGTTGACCTAATGTTGACCAAACACCCGAACTTACCTGACCTGAAGTTGACCAACTCGAATTTGACCCAAAGAGTTTGACCCGAAGTGTTTAACCAACCCGAACATGATCTGAAGTGTTTGACCTGAAGTGTTCCACCAACTCGAATGTGATCATACACCAAACTCGGGATGGGTCAAGTCTCCTACTTCATTTGCCTCACTAACATTTGGCCTATGTTGATCGAATTACAACCAGCCTTACATCTTATTCGATTTGGTACAAGTTTAGGTGAGTTTAATAACCGGTTAAATTACATTCAAATAAAGTCAATACTTAATTGTTAGAAAATTAACTCATTCTAGAATTTTAGTCAAATTTGGTTCAAGTCAATAATTTTACGGGTTATAATCAAGTTGAAATCACCAAGTCAATAATATATGGGTTACATTTAATTTGGGTCGGGTCATTTATACGTCAATTCATGTTCAAAATTGGTATCAAATAATCTTGCCAACTCGGGTTCCATGAAAAATATAACAAGTATTTTAGAACAAAAAATGGATATGGTAACAAGTATTCTAGGACAAAGGGAATAATACAAGAAATTATCTTTAATTTTGTAAGTAAGAACATTATGTAAATCAAATAATTCAAATGATATAAAATATGATAAACGTAAATGAAATATTTCATAAAGTTAAAGTATAATAGCTAAAAGTAAACAAACTAAACTTAAGTTCTGTAGTAAAATTACTTATAGTAAATGTAAAAATATTACAATAATAAAAATAATAAAAAATATTTGTTCATTAAATCTTTATCTTGATCTTCCAAAACATCTTCTAATTTCCAAGGATTAAAATAACTGCACAAAAATAAACATCAGTTATTTGTCACAAATTAAAGTAAATAAATTAGAATGTAAAGTAAATAAATTACAACTTAAAGTAAATAGAAAACGTAAGAGGTAAAATACCAAATAAAAAAAATACCAAGTATAATAACACCCGCACAAAATTAAAAGTAAATGAATTTACTGTTAAAGTAAATAAATAGAAGTTTAAAGTAAATGGAACACACTTAAAAGTAAAATTTCTGAAAGACTACTTGTTTGGACATTTTCTACTGTCATGGGAAACACCGGATTGCCCACAAGCTCTGCAAGTTCTGCCTTTTTTAGATTTTTCTTCACTAGCTATTTCTTTTGAACTCTTCAACCTCTTTGAACTTATGGCAGAACCTTTATTAAGACACTAATTTGGAGGCAAGACATTTACATCAACTTCATTTGACCCAACCAAAACCTGAATATTAGCATCTTTCACCTCTTTTGAACTAGGTGCATTTTCAGGATTATTCTTTCATATCATCTGCTCCTCAAATGAAGATAATGTCCTAATAAGCTTAGATAAATTATCCTCAGATTGGTCAGTTAAACTCACACAACTGAAAATCATGGACCATACATCACTGACCAATTGCTTCTTCTTATCATACTTAGAAGCATCATCCAGAGCAACATATATGGCAAAAGCTTTCTTCAGAACAAATTTTCTCCAACGATTCAAGATATAAGCATCAGGAATTTCACGTATAAACTTGCCTTTTATAACAAACAAAATGTGTCTACATAAAATACCTTGACTCTCAAACATTCTACAAGTACAACTTGACTCATATGTTGCCAAGTCAAAATTTACATCAAAATTTTTCCTTTTCTCATGATCAACAATAACAGAAAACTCCACACCATCTCCATACAGAGAACTACAAATTTAAACACCACATGAAAAACAGGGGTCATGGCATTCTTCTTGAAAATCATAAAATATGGAACGAGTATAAACAACAGCAGCATGCTTTTTCAAATGTAAATTGGTAACCAATTGAGGCTCAAGTTTATTAAGGTTGTACAACTCATCCTATTCATGCCTTTGAGCATCAAGATCAGTTTCATAATGGACAAAGAATTCAACACAGGTCACATGAGGGTTTGTAAAATTACAAAAGAAACTGTTTTCACCTTCAGACCTAGATGTGGAACGCAGTAACCCACCCATAAATAAGTCCCTAAAATATGCAGGAATCCAAAGATGTTTAATCTTGAACATGTATGCAAACCACTCATGATCAACAAGGTTAAACTCCTCCATAACACTATTCCAGCCATCAACAAATACATGAGGATCAATCTCTCTATCCCAAACTACTGCACTTAGCTTTTTCAGGAAATCAGTTTCATTACAAAAAGCAGTTCCAACCTTTTTAGGTACCTTCCTCATTATGTGCCACATACATAGCCTATGTTTAGTCTTGGTAAAAACCTTTTCTATGGCAATACCCATTGCAGGATCTTGATAAGTGATAATACAAGAGGATTCTCTTCCCATACATTTCAAAAAAGTTTGATATAGCCACACAAAAGAATATATGTCTTCTTTAGATAATAGAGCAACACAAAATGTAACACATCTCTTATGATTATCAACACCAGTAAAAGGACAGAAAACCAATGAATATTTATTTGTATCATAGGTAGAATCAAAAGATAAAGAGTCCCCAAATAATTGATAATCTCTTCTACCAATAGCATCAGCCCAAAAAACATGGGTCAAATGCCTACTTTCATCAACACAGTAATCAAAATAATAACCCCCTTTACTGGTTTTCACTTTTTGTTCAAGGTACTGAACAAACATTGCATCATCAGCATAAGAGACATAAACTTTCAAGTCCCTAGTAAAATTTTTGAAATCGTTTTTGCTACTGCTGACATTTTGAAACCCACCACAAAGTTCTTTCATGATCCTATAAGACAAAACAGCCCCTATATTTAACTTTGAGTTGTCAAAAATAAACTTCTTATGAGAAAAATTTAAACCAACTTCATTTTTAGTAACCTGCCTAGTAATAGGTGTAGAAAAAGGGTGAGAATGAGATTCATAAAAACAATACACCATATACTTCCCACCAATACTAAACCTAAATTTTATCTTAGCAGGACAACCAACTCTCAACATAGTCTTTCTCTTTAAACAAGCACCTCCAACTTGTTTACCAGGTTTCTTGTTATTTGTCACATACTGTAGGGAATATTTCAAGCATTACCCAAAACTTGAACCCCATTGTGATCATACACTAAAGTACGGTGGCGTCCAAAGGGAAGGAAGATAGAGAAAAAGAGTCTCCAACAAGTTTTAGGAACTTATAAACCGTTCACGAGGTGAAGGTTACACCCCTTAACAATCCAGGAGATCGTCAACTCCAATAGGTCTGGAACCATGACTGGTAGTTTGGGGATGAAGGCACAAATCCAATCTAAAAGAGATTGAACCTCCCCTAATAATAGGCCTCTACTTTATTCTGATCGTATTCATGTGCGCTTTCTGATTAACATGCATTCAATAGGATTAACCCTAAAACTGTTTATCTATGTTGGTTAAATATTAATGCACAAATAAAACTATTATCGGTGATCACTTGAATTATAATCAAATTAACCCTAAACAAGATTATTAATTATCTTATTAAGCGTGATTACAAGTACCAATTCCCTTTAAACATGCATAAAAGGTGTGATTAAGCAATAACAATAAATATATATCAAGCAACATAATAATCATAATAATAATAATAATAATAATAATAATAACAATTAACAATTATAATCATAATAATAATATTTAAAATAATCATAATTATAATAATAATCATAATTAAAATAATAATGTTAAAGCATAATATTAATAGCAAGATCCTAGGCATGATACTAACAAGATTAATAACAAACCCTAACATGTCACTAAGCAAAAAAGATCAAAGTTTTAACCCTAATTTGATACTAACATGAAAATTAGGAAAGAATATAGGAAGCATCATACTTTTAATCATACTTGATATCAAAGTTACCCTAGACATGATACTAGGAAGATCAAAACACCCTAACATAACATTAGGAATCATAGTAACAACCTAAATATGATTTCTATATAATAACATCAATATAAACCATTAAAGTACTTACTTGGATTCCTCGTACCTCTTTCTTTCACGTCTAGGGCGAAGGCAACTTCGAACTTGGCTAGGTGTTTCTAGTGCTAATGTATGAGGAATTGCTTTATAAAAAGGGTTGGTTTTGAAAGAGAGGGAGAATCAAGAATTCTTGATGAGAATTTATGATTGAAAAAGGGGAGATATGACCTCTATTTATAGAGAAAAAAGAGGATCGAAGAATAAGAAGAGAATCCGAATTCGAATCGAAATAGAACTCGATGGACAGCAGTTTTTGCGGATTTTTTTTTATCATATCTTTTGATCCAGAAGTTAAAATAAGGAATATAATATGTCGTTGGAAAGATATTGAAGTCTTCTTTCCAACGCAATTAGAATCAGATTAAAATAATTTGTATATAAAAAGATATGGCTAAAATAGTAGGATGATGTCAGTTTTGGATAGAGTTTCATATCTAATTCATATCTTTTTCGTTTTAGCTAGGAATTAATATTATAATATATCATTGGAAAGATAATATCAAGATCTATCCAACCATATAAAATTTGGATAAAGATTATGAGGTATGAAAATAAAATCTGACTGTCTTTGAGTTTGAATAGAATTAGGATTTAAGAAAAGGAAAGTTTTAAAAAAGAAAAGTTTTTATTTAACTCAAATTCTTTAATCTTATCTTTTCAAAAAGGATAATTAAGATCTTTTAGAAACTTATAGAAGCTTCTAATTAATCCTAATTAGTTTAGGAATAGGATTAGACCTTTGGACCCTCCACATGATCATTGGGTCGTAGGTAAAATCCGGTTTGGGCCCAGTTTAGTATTTTGGCCATAACTTCCTCATTATTCATCGGAATTGGGCTTATAATATATCGTTGGAAAGGTATTTTCAAGCCCCATCCAACTACACCATTATTGGACCCATATCATGGACCTAAATAAAATTAAATGCACGTTTTTCAAAAATAGAGTAAGAAAAGAAATATTTTCAAAAACAGAAAAAAGATATATTTTAATAAAAACATCCTCATCACTAGACTTTTCACATTTTCGCTTTGTTCGATAATCAAATAACGTGAAAGGTATTCATCACTGGGTTTGGTTTAGGGGAGACACATTTGGGTGTCTACAGAAGCCCCCACTTTGACTGAGTTTGGAGAACAAAAGTCAAAGTATCGATAGGGACGGAGAATGATTCAGAACGTTCTGCGATCCTAAATCATTCTTGCAACGCCGATACTTGCAAACTAGCGTTAGTTAAACAGATAAGAGAGTTAAGAAACGCGTATCTTGCACCGTCGAGCACACGTCTCTGAAAGTAACTGATTTGTTTTTGTATTTTTGCCGGCCTCCTGCAAGCTAGAGAATGCCGCCTGAAGACTGCTACGCTTGTAACTGCCTCCAATTCCGCTATGATAGACTTCTGCAAGCTAGAGAACTCCATCGAAGATTGCTTTGCTTGAAACGACCTTCTAGCACTTTGTGACCATCTTCTGCAAGCCAGGGAACACGATCGAAGACAACTTCGCTTGAAATCACCTTCAGTTGTTTGTGACCACTCTCCGCAAGCTAGGGAATGCTGCCAAAGACATCCTCGCTTGAAGCTATCCACATTTGTTGCGATAATATTCCAAAGAAAATTATCGAAGACCCACGCTTGTCGATCTTTACAAGCTCGCTTGAACTTTGCTTCCGTTATGCCTGTACGTCGGCGCTTTGCTGCTTGTGAACCACTATGTCGGTGCTTTTGCTGTGATGACAATCCTCTTTTCTTTGGGAATAGTTGCCAACACAACTCTATTGTATGATGTATGACAATTCGATTTACGGAAATTTGCCAATGCTTCGTAACAATCCATCCTTGGAAATGTTGCTACGATGAAGCGATAATCCGTATCTCGAAAAATTTCCCAAAATCCAATTTTGGGAAAAGTTTCCAATGCTTCGTAACAATCTGTCATAAGAATTTTGCTACGATCGACAATCCACATCTTGGAATATAACTCTTGGAAGCAATCCACCTTGGAAATTGCCAACGCTATGCGACAATCCTTTTAGGAAAATATTGCCACAATTGACAATCCGCGTCTTGGAACATTTTCCAAAAAAGAGTCGATCGACAATCCACTTCGAGAAAATTTGCCACTTACTGAAATGAATGACAATCCACGTTTGAGGAACATTTGCCGAAATTTATGATGAATAGAGACCTACGACAATCCTTTGGGAAATTTTTCCATAGGGAATTGGGTATATGACAATCCAATCTTGGAAAACTTGCCAGAGATGACAATCCGAAATTGCCAAACAGAGAAGGAGCACGACAATCCATGCTTGAAAACTTTGCCAGAGATGACAATCAAATCTTGGAAAAATTGTCGTTGAAGAAGATGCACGACAATCCATATTTGGAAATATTGTCAGTTGGGGAAGACAATCCAATTTTTGGAAAAATTTTCGTTTAAGAAGAATGCGCGTCAATCCATATTTGGAAATATTGTCGTTTAAGAAGAATGCGCGACAACGCGACAATCCATATTTGGAAATATTGTCGTTTAAGTGCTTGCTTTTAAACCGATACGTTGGTGCTTGTAATGAGCCAATGCTTAGGCGCTTAAGCTAAGTGAGACGATTTTTTGTCAGGTCAATCACTTACTACGGTTGTAATCGAGCCGACTACTAATCATGTCAAATTGCTTATAGGGGCTAACTGGCGTACCAAGGAACCTGAAATTGTTGTATGAGGTCGAAATAACCATTCTGAGAGTCTTCGAGCTCTGTCGCTGCTGAAATATCTCTGGCATCAATAATTGGCTTTATCGCCAGATGCTGGGATCTAGAGTCAGGCACTGAACTTTGTCGCCAGGCACCAGCCTTGTCGTCTGGCGCTGGAGTAGGGTCTTCCCTATTCTGCTCTTGCTGTCGCTGTTGCTTGGTTTTGCTCCGAACTTTGAGCTTGGTCATTTCCTTTCAACCAAATCCGCTTAAATCTTTTGTAAATTAAAGCTTTTCATCTCTAATTTACTGATCCATGTAACTCCTCTTATCTTGAAGGAATCTCATGTGTCATATTTGCAGTTTTTTTTAAAAAAAAATTCGGGAATGTCCTCGCTTTCTGGGATGCACCTGCATTTATATATTTAACTATAGGACTTTGCTTATCTTTCTTTAGGGTTGACCTAAGACTTAGTGTTTCTTGACTCATTGACTTGTCGTGACTCAAGGTATGAACTTGACTGGCTGTGATTGACTCGAGGTTGATTCGACTCAAAGTGTTTGACACATGTGTTAGACTCGAATCAAGGTGATATGACACGACATGAATCAATGTGTACATGACTCGTGTGTGCATTGTATTGTGATCATGGGACTCGAAAATGCAAAAAAGCAAAAATTTTCTGTCATTTTTGTGGAGGGTACCAACTTTCTCCCGAAAAAGAAAGACACGAAAAAGAATAGAAGTGAAGTTTTTTTGAAGATGCATGTTGAATGATCTTAGTCAAATATATGTGTTTGATGCTGTCTCTCAAGGTGCAAAGATTAATCCATCCTAGGCTATCTCAATGGTTGACTCAATGATGAAAGTATTTGAGTAACTTAGGCACGGAGGCTAAGCACTTCATACTTCATGATGCAATGACAATTATGATTGATGAGTGATGTTGATATGACAAGGCATGCTTCAACGTTGTGTTAAGATTCCATGACAAAGGGAGGGAAGGTATATTTGGTCATGTATCTGTGATGTGTGTGAAAGTGATTCCAAAGTTAGGCTGCAAGGGCTAAGTGTGTGGAAAAAATTATTTCAAGAAGAGTCAAATGATGGTGACTCTTAGGCTAAGTAAGCTAATGATGTAGGGTTCAAGCCCCCCAAGTCTAGCTCTAAGTAGATAGGGATAAGCATTGGAGATCCCTTGATATGATCATGGTGTGTGAATGTGAATATGAATGCATGTTTATTACGGCCGCACCTCAATGTGAGGTTGCCTACGTATCCGTTAGGAATCAGGCC